GTATGCCGCAAAAAAAATGTGGCTGCGAGGTCAGTTCCCGCGATGCCTCTCCGCGGCAGGCCAATCCGGGTCTAACCCTCTTGACGGCCGGAAATGACGGTCCGTTGATGTGCCGAGTGCGACCACCCATCCCGCCATCTTTGAGGGTTACCCGTAAGGTTCAGCGCGCCCAAAATCAAGGGCGCCCTGAGCTCCCCTAATTTCCGCTGCCTGGTCTAAGTCCCAAAACCGTAGATTTCAGGCGGCGCACTGCTTGTGGCCGCCTGACAACGCGACCTTCGCCGCAATCATCGACAAGGCAAGGGAGATCATCAAGACCAATAGGGCGGCTGCACATGAGAAGTCGGCATGGCAGCCAACCTATGTGGAGAAAGGAAAATTTGGTCCGCGTCCGCAGCATGTCATTGCAGTTCACTCGGACAACATTGTGGAAGACCCGACAACCACCCAAGCATCACGTGAGGGAGATCAGGTGGCTGCTGTCCAGCCGCGAAGCAACAACAACTCCTGAGGAAAAGGGAAGGTGAAAACCGCATCGCTAGCAGGAAACGGACAGCCAGCACCTTGGGTCAAGTTTCACTTGACTGAGGCCGAATACAAGTGGCGCGGCCGGTATGGCTGCTGCTATTGGTGCAACAGCACCAAGCACAAGACCTCCCAATGCCCGGATCAAGGCAAGGAGAATGTTCGGCCTCGCATCAACTCGGGAAACTGAGTTGCGCGGGAGGTAAGGCGACTCCACCTCTCACTCTTCCAGATTCGGCCGCCTTGCTAGCGGCCTCCTACACATATGGGGAGGATGCGAATGTCGCAAGTCCTCGATTCACTTACGAGGATTATGCTGTCCACTTGGTCCCACCGTTGGACCAACCACTCCACGTGCAACAATCCACYGCATGCACGGTTTCACTACCATCGGCAACCAATTCGGCAACTTCGCCATCATCTATCGTCGGGGATTCGACGACATGGTCAAGACTTGAAGAGCTCGACGCGTTGACGTTTGCGGACTTCCACTGGATGCCCCTTCCCCCGTCCAGTCGATTGCCGAAACCACATTGCAACGTGCTCACGACACAATTGCGGGATTACTTGCACACTGCAGTACCAACTCCGTTGATGGACGCCGGAGTAGAGGTTGTCGACCTTCATGCCTACATTGCGAAGATCGACCGCGAGTTCAAGACACAACGGTACGACGACATCGACGTGCCGTTGTTGTACATACGCATTCAGATCAGAGAGGCGACCTGCAACGCTTTGATCGATTGCGGAGCTACTCGCAACTACATGAGCCAAGACTTTATGGTACGCGCTGGTCTTGGGCCACGCGTTCGGAGGAAGTTGCAGCCCACGTAAGTCACGTCGGCCGACGGTCACACGCACAAGTCAATCGACCAATGCATTGATGCCGTCCCCGTGTACTTTGCCCCGCATGCAAGTGAGGCCGTGTCCTTCGATATTTTGGACACCAAGTTCGGCATGATCTTGGGCATGTCATGGCTGCGAAGCGAGGATTACCCGGTGAACTTCTACCGCCGCACCATTCACGTTCGTGATCAGAATGGAGTACTAGTCCAATGCACGGTGCCTCCTCCTCAGCCTTCGATCAGCTGCCACGTGGTGTCCGCCGCAAGCATTCGAGCTTCCATCACCCCGGATGACATCGAGGAGATGGGGGTGTGTTTTCTCCACACCCTCCCGCCCCAAGACATTCCATCGATGGACTCACCACCGGACCCACGCATCACCGAGCTTCCCGACGCCTACGGCGACGTGTTCGAAACACCACACGGAGTAGTATCGGATCGGCGCATTCGCCACGAGATCATCCTCGAGGACGGGGCCGTACCTCCGCGTGGTTGCATCTACCGCATGAGCGAGGAAGAGTTAAGTGTGCTAAGGGCACAACTCGACGATCTTCTCGAGAAAGGCTGGATTCGGCCTAACTCTTCGCCATACGTTCTCTTCGTCCGAAAGAAGAACAAGGAGCTGCGGTTGTGCATCGATTATCGCAAGCTCCACGCGCAAACCGTCAAGAACGCCGGCCCTCTTCCGCGCATCGACGGCCTCCTCGAACGACTGGGCGACACCAAGTTCTTCTCCAAGCTTGACCTCAAATCGGGGTATCACCAACTCAAGATCCGGCAGGAGGACCGCTACAAGACTGCGTTTAAGATGCGATATGGGCAATTCGAATGGCTGGTTATGCCTTTTGGCCTTACGAATGCCCCGGCCATATTCCAAGCGACTATGACAACGGAGTTCCGACACATGCTGGATAGATTCGTACTTATCTACCTCGACGACATCTTGGTGTACAGCCGGAGTTTGGACGAGCATGTGGAGCACCTGCGCACCATTTTGGAGCGGCTACGACAAGCCAAGTACAAAGTCAACCGCGACAAATGCGAATTCGCGTGGCAAGAGCTGGAGTACTTGGGACATTATGTGACGCCGCAAGGCATCCGTCCGCTTGCGGACAAGATCGAGGCCATCCGTTTATGGCCCGAGCCCACCAACACCACGGCCGTTCGTTCATTCATGGCGTTGGCGGGCTACTATCAACGCTTCATCACCGTGTACTCAAGGATTGCCCCACCTATGACGAGATTACAATCACCAAAAGTGCCATTCGTATTCGATGACGATGCACGCCGGGCATTCCAAGCACTCAAGACGGCCATGCTCATGGCACCCGTCCTTAGCATCTACGACCTCACCCTGCCAACGAGAGTGACAACCGACGCTTCCGGCTATGGCATTGGGGCAGTCTAATTGCGACTCTTGCGACTCTTGCGAAGTTTGTCGACGAAGCAAGCCCCTCAACCGCAATCCCTACGGCGAGTTGCGCCCAATGCCTATCCCACAGGAACCCGGCCTCTTCATTGCCATAGACGTCACCGGTCCGTTTCCCCGGGACTGGCTCGGGCACGACGGCATCCTCACTGTCATTGACCGTTTGAGTAAGTGTGCGCGATTTCTACCTTGCAAGAACTACGCCACAACTCCCGAACTTGCGCGCCTCCTACACACCAGCTGGATTTGTAGCCATGGCGTGCCGGAAGACATCGTCAGCGACCGCGACACTCGCTTCATGTCGGCATTTTGGACTTCTCTCATGCAGGAATCAGGCACGAAGATGAAGCCAAGTTCGACTCGGCATCCACAAACGGATGGGCAAACGGAGCGGGCACATCAAACCGCTCAAATAATGCTTCGTACGCTCATCCGTCCGGATCAGAAGGATTGGGTTGACGGCCTCCCCGACATCGAGTTCGCCTACAACACTTCGTTGCATCCGGCGATCGGCGTAACTCCATTCGAGTTGCACCACTGTGGCCGGAAAGGCCGTATCTTCGCTGATCTTCTCCTCCCACGAACAACCGATATAGACGCTGCTTGCTCCCCCGCTTCCGTTCGGAAGTACAGGGAATTGCTGGCTCAAGCCCACGCGAACATGCAAAAGGCTCAAGTCCGCATGCAGCAGCAAGCCAACAGGCATCGTGTGCCATGTCCCATCCACGCCGGTGATCTGGTGTGGGTCTCCGCGGAAGAGTTTGCACTCGAACAGGATGTTTCACGCAAACTGCTTCCCAAGTGGTTTTGACCATGGCACATAACATCAGCCGCGGGCAATGAGCCCGATGGCCCCTCATTTGTGATCAACATTCCCCCGCATCTGACGGTCCATCCAGTCTTTCACACCTCAAAGCTGGCAACATATACACCAGCCAAGAGCGACGACTTCCCGGGCCGAAGATCGCAAGATCCTCCATCTATGGATGGTCATCAGGAGGTTGACCGCGTCATCACGGATCGCAGGTACGGCAGCAAGCCTCGACAGTACAAAGTTACATTCAAAGCATGCGATCCCGGCGACACTCGGTGGATTTCAGGAACAGATTTGAAAGCATCCGCACCGCTGATCTACGCGCACTACGAGCGACAAAGGTTAGCTCAGGGAACTTCATGACCTGCCCCTCCCACGCGGACTGTGGTCCCTCCCTCGGACAGACAGCTTCGCCCTCGCGGGTAAGCTCGGTCTTTCAAGGAGGGGGGGGTGTGGCATACTGCGCAGCCACACGAGCCTGCAGGGCCTGTCCCGCAGCCTCAGCCTAAAAGCCTAGAAACAAGGGCTTACAGGCCCCGTGTCGTTTCAGCCTGAAAGACTGAAAAACGAGGGCCTGCAGGCCCTATGTCGTTTCAGCCTAAAACAGGGCCTTCCAGGCCCTGAGTTTTTTCAGCCTGAAACGGAGGGCCACTCTCGGGCCCTCATAAGATCGACCTGCCCTAACACTCAGGCACCAAACCAGGGTTTCGGGAACAGGCTATTTTTGGCCTGTTCCTACGCCAGCCTCAGCAGGAACTGCAGCGGCAGGCCCTGGCTCACCTCGGCATTGGCAAGAGCAGCCTCCTGGACTGCCCCGCCCTGCAGCTGCAGGCAGTCAGGAGGCAGGCCGAGGTAGTACATGAGTTCCCATGCACTTCACGGGCAGTCAGAGGCCGAGGCAGTAGTAGTCACCCGGTTTCGGCAGCAGCACTCTGGAGGAGCGCTGCAGGAGTAGCTTAGCGCTACAAGTAGTCTTCAGCGCTGAGCGCTAGTAGCAGTAGCAGTAGTCTTCAGCGCTGGGCGCTAGTAGAGGTAGAGGAGGTGAGAGAGAGAGAGAGAGATGGCTGGCGGAGGCCAGGGAGACTTACCTGCTTACCTGTGGCGCCATAGCTCCAGTTTCATCTTCAAGGTACCTGCATCAAAGCGCCAACTTCACAGGTTAGTACGGGACAAAGAGAGAGAGAGAGAGAGAGAGAGAGAGAGAGAGAGTTCTTCTTCTTCCTCTTCTAAGTCCACCATCTCTTCTTCACCCTCTCACTACCTGACTTCTCAGTATCAGCGGACTACGACACAGAGAGAGAGTTGTGACTTGAGACTTGACGACAATGGATCCAGACTCGACATTGGGATTCAGACATTTTGACAAGGGACTATTTGGGCTTGTGCCGAGACTTGGTGTTGTCGACATTCCCATCTTCCCCTCTTCTTCGTCTAACCCCCCTCTTCTTCGTCTGTGTATGGTTGGGGACTGGCGCATTCTTCCTGTGTGAGCGCCAGGCCCCTTCACACCATGGAGTGATGATGATGATTTATGTTCGGGGCTGCATTGCAATATTGATTGTTTGGATCATTGGTATCTAAGTCTTCTGCTACGCTATCTTGTACTTTGTGAGGCAGGTCGGTTCTTGTTCTGGTCTGCACCGTTACAGTATGCAACCTTACAGGCCCTGTGTAGTTTCAGGCTAAATCAGGGCCTTTCCAGCCCTGAGTGTTTTCAGCCTGAAACTGAGGGCCATTTCCGAGCCCTCATGAGTTCGGCCTGCCCCGAAACTCAGGCACTAGACCAGGGTTTTAGCTCAGGCCATTTCTGGCCTATTTTAAAGACCACCTTTGTTTGAGCTTCAACCCCAGGGTCTGGCACGTTGAGGCATTGGCAAGAGCAGCCTCCTGGATGGCCCAGCACTATATAGGACTGGCCCGCCCTGCAGGCCGGGAGGTAGTTCATAGGTACTTCCCAGGCACTTCCCGTGCACTTCAGGAGGCAGGAGGTAGTCTTCAGGATTCGGCAGCAGCACTCTGGAGGAGCGATGCAGGGTAGTATTAGCGCTAGCAGTAGTCTTCAGCCCTGGGCGCTTTTTAGCGTTAGCAGTAGTCTTCAACGCTGGGCGCCATAGCTAGAGTAGTACCATAGAGAGAGAGATTGGGTGGAGGCCCCGGGGGACTTACCTGCAGCGCCATCGCTCCAGCTTCGTCTTCAAGGTACCTGCAGCACAGCGCCACCTTCACAGGTCAGTACCTGGCATGTGTGAGAGAGAGAGTTCTTCTTCTTCCTCTTCTCAGTCCACCATCTCCCTCTCACTCTCTCGATATCTGACTTCACTGCATCAGCAGACTATGTGTGTGTGTGTGTGTGTGTGTGTGTGTGTGTGTGTGTG